GGGTGTTGTTTTTGCTTTGGCTCCATCTCTTCATTCTTTCTGTTGTTATTTCTCCACTGATCTCCAGTAGCATGTTGGGCACCTACCAACCTGGGGAGTTCATCTTTCAGTGTCTTATCTTTTTGCCTTTTCATACTGTTCATGGGGTTCTCAAGGCAAGAATACTGAAGTGGTTTGTCATTCCCTTCTCCAGTGGACTGCATTTTGTCAGAACTCTCCACCATGACCCATCCATTTTAGGTAGTCCTACATGGCATGGCTCATAGTTTCATTGAGTTAGACAAGGCTGTGGTCCATGTGACCAGTTTGATTAGCTTTTTGTGATTGTGGTTTTCCTTTTGTCTGTCCTCTGACAGAGAAGGATAAGAGGCTTAGGGTTAAGATAAGGGAGGTTCCTGTTAGGAGAGACTGACTCAGGGGAAACCAGGTCTTGTTCTGATGGGCAGGGCCTGCTCAGTAAATTTATAATCCAATTTTCTGTTGATGGGCGGGGCTGTGTTCCCTCTCTGTTGTTTGACCTGAGACCAAACTATGGTGGAGTTAAGGTGAGCCCTTAAGATGGCAGAGTAGAAGGAGGTGTGCATATCTTCTCCTGCAAGAATTCCACAATTACAACTCAGTGCAGGACTGCCAGTTCTAACTGTTGCTTCAACATGGATCAACATACTGGTTCCAAAAAGGGAAAAGAATACATCAAGGCTGTATATTGTCACCCTGCTTATTTAACTTATATGCAGAATACATCAGGAGAAACGCTGGGCTGGATGAAGCACAATCTGGAATCAAGATTGCCACAAGAAAGATCAATAACCTCAGATATGCAAATGACACCACCCTTATGGCAGAAAGTGAAGAAGAACTAAGGAGCCTCTTGTTGAAAGTGAAAGAGGAGAGTGAGAAAGTTGGCTTAAAACTCAACATTCGGAAAACTAAGAATGGCATCTGGTCCCATCACTTCATGGAAAATAGATGGGGAAACAATGGAAACAGTAGCAGACTTTATTTTTTTTTGGCTCCAAAATCACCTTAGATGGAGACTGCAGCCATGAAATTAAAAGACACTTGCTCCTTGGAAGAAAAGTTATGACCAAGCTAGACAGCATGTTAAAAAGCAGAGACATTACTTTGTCAACAAAGGTCCATCTAGTCAAAGCTATGGTTTTTCCAGTAGTCATGTATGGATGTGAGAGTTGGACTATAAAGAAAGCTGAGAGCTGAAGAATTGATGCTTTTGAACAGTGGTGTTGGAGAACTCTTGAGAGTCCCTTGGACTGTAAGGAGATCCAGCCAGTCCATCCTAAGGAAAATCAGTCCTTAATATTCATTGGGAGGACTGATGCTGAAGCTGAAAGTCCAATACTTTGGCCACCTGACGTGAAGAACTGACTCCTTGGAAAAGACCCTGATGCTGGCAAAGATGGAAGGCGGGAGGAGAAGGGGACAACAGAGGATGAGATGGCTGATGGCATCACAAACTCAATGGACATGAGTTTGAGTAAACTCTGGGTGTTGGTGATGTACAGGGAGGCCTGTTGTGCTTCAGTTCATGGAGTTGCACAGAGTCAGACATGACTGAGTGACTGAACTGAAGTGCTGAACAACCATCATCAGGAGAATGTTGGATCCCACCAAAGAAAGATACCTCACACCCATGGGCAAAGGAGAAGCCCCAGGAAGATGATAGGAGGGGTGAAATCTCACTTAGAATCAAACCCCATACCCACCAGAGACGCTCGGAGGCCTCAAACAAAACTTTACGTGCACCAGGACCCAGAGACCCCACAGACACTGAGCCAGAACTGTGTTTCAGTGTCTCCTGCAGAGGTATAGGTCATCTGTGGCCTGCCACAGGGGCAGGGGCTCTGGGTGCAGGAGATCTGGGTCACAAAGCCTGTGGCATAAGCCTGTTGGAGGAGGTCACCATTAACCCCACATAGAGCCACCGAGCAGACGACCCACAAATTGCAGAACAATTATATCAAAGAAATTCTCATACTGTTAAGAAAGTTCTAGGACCCACAACAGATTTCCCAACCTGGGAATCTGCAAAGGACTCATAACCCCCAGGGAATTTGACTTTGGAGGCCAGTGGGATCTGATTACAGAACTTCCACAGGTCTAGGGAAACAGACTCTTGGAGGGCACAAACAAAACCTTGTGCACACCAGGACCCAGGAGAAAGCAGCAGTGACCCCACAAGAGACTGACCTAGACTTGCCTGTGAGTGTCCAGCAGTCTCCAGTGGAGGTGTGGGTGTGTGGTGGCCTGCTGCAGGGTCGGGGGCACTGAGTGCAGCAGTGTGTGCACGCGGCCTTCTGAAGCAGGTCGCCATTAGTTTTCAGAGTAAGTAATAAATTGGGGTAGTTCGTTAGATGGCGGGGACAGCCAGGGTCCCTCCCGCAGCCTCAGTCAGGCTGTCTGAGTGAGGTGGAAGTCTGACTCTCACGTCCTGGCTTCCCCCACCCCCAGGGGATGGCTCCAGATCAGTAGCCAGCTACTGTCTTGGGGAGCTCAGGGCCCTCAGGGAACGAAAGCAAAAGCTGCGAGCTCTCCTTGGAGCCTGAAAGTCGTGTGGCATCTCTCTTTCTGGCAGTTCAAGCAAGTGAAGGGGTCAGGCCCATTCAACAAGCGGGGATGGCATCCACCTGCTGACGGGAGCAGCAGTGAGAGTGGAAAGGGGTGAGAGAAGTTGTTAGGAGACATTGTTCAGACAAAAGTTAAGCTGTAGGAGAGGCCGCTGGGGAAGGTTCTCAGAGGACAGGGTCAGGGGGATAAGCACTGCATTGATCATGTTTTTTATTTTCTGTATCTTTGATGCTTTGACATCTTGAGGGCCTTGCTGGCTGGGGAGAGACTGCCCCTCCCAGGCTGGCTAATTCCTAGAGACAGCAAACAACTCAGCCTGCCAACACAGCTTTCACATGCAAACCAACCGGTTCAGAGCCCACACCCCAACCACCTCCTTTAATTGCACACCAGGCCAATCACCCAGGGCCAGGCACTGGACAATGATAGATCGCTGAAATTATTCACTACCCAATCCTCAGCTTGCGGAAACTTGCCCACCTGCCTCGTGCCCACTGAAAACACGGGCAAGGCTCTGGCCAAGCTCTCTCGTCCCTCCTTCTGCTCACAGCTGACACTGGTGCTTCCCCAAGTGGCCCTGCATTGTGTGGCTTGCCCCTCTTGGGAAGTGTAAGCTTTGAACTCTTCTTTCAAGGCAGTTGGCAGTGTCTTGTCAGTTTACCATAGCTGATTACAACATATCCTAGGTTCATGTTCAGATATAGGCCAGGAAGCGAAAATTGGAGGGACACCCATGCAGATTCTGAGGTCAGAATTCCAGCACCAGTGGTACTGGAGAGAGAATGACAAGGAGTGAGTCAGGCGCTGAAATCACCAAAGAATAAGGGGAGGTGGGCCTCAGTTCTGAAGGTAACAGTAACAGTGCTGGGGCTGGGGGATGAATGATTACTCTGAGAAAATGAGAGTTAAAGCTGGAAGTTAATAGGGTGAAGGGGGAAATGGTCTGGAGGCAGTCATAAAGAGTCAGGAGTTCACCCCACTTGCAGGCCCAGAGGTAGAGGCATTGTTTGAAAATAAACATTTATACTTTAGAGATGCCATGAGAAGCCTGGGTTCTGTGAGAGCAAGAGGAAAGGAATGTTTAGAGAAATGGGATGTCAGAGTGGTGATGCTGGACAGGAGGACACAGTAGCAGAGCTTCTGGCAGGGGGGAGGGGTGGGGTAGGGTCAGAGTAAGGAGTGTGCAGAGCCTTATTGGGGGCCGACTGCAGGAAATAAATGTGACCTGGGATAAAGGCCCCCTGTTTCTGCCTCCATCTCTGCAGCAGCCAGCATACCCTTTCTCCCTGTTTCCTCAAACACTTCCTTTTTGACTTCTGCCATGGATATTTAGCATGTAAGGGCTTCCTACAGTCCTCACTATCCCAAACTCTTTGTTCAGGGATTCCCCCACTTGCACTCCCCTGACAGCAAAGTGTCAGACCAGCCAATCAGAGGCTCCCTCTTGCCTCATCAGAGTCCCAGGTGGGCCAGGTGGGCCTGGAGCCTGCCGAGAGCTCTGGTCTCAGGATCTCCCTGGCCCCCGGGGACCCCTCAGCCTATAAGACTAAGGCCCCTGTTTGTCGCTGGAGGCCTAGATTAGGTTTCTGTGGCTCTCATCCCCGATTCTGATGTCATCAGAGTCCTGAATAGAGTCATCAGGTACAAATAAGTCTCTGACAAATCTTTTGTCCTTCATGTCCCCCAGACTCATGCCTAGAAGTGGCAGTTCACTCGGGTGCCTAACGGGCGCCTCTGCCTCTGCCAGTCATGATTTTCTTCCAAAACAGCTTGTACCGAGGCCGGTGTCGCCATCAAAAAATGCCACCCATTCGCTGAGCAGTTCTGGACAAACACCTGGCATCATCCTGACGCCCTCCTTCCAGCAACCCGGTATTTACCCAGCCAGGAGGCGCCCAGCACCGCCTTCTCTGTCCTCAGCCCCTCACCACCCACCTCCTCGCGGCCGACCAAGCGCCCACCGCCCAGGACAGGAGCCCAGCCTGGAGACCTCCGGCGGGGCGGGGGGGACCCCTCGGCGGAGCCTGGGCTGGGGGTCGACCCGGGCCGCCCTTTGACAGGTGGGGCGGCAGGGGGCGCAGGTGCGCCAGGCTCCCGCTAGCTGCGCTGGATCCGCGAACGTCGGATCGCTAGCTGCGAACGTTGGAGGGGAGGGGGCGTGGCGACTAGGGGGAGTGGCGGGGGCGACGGGGGGCGTGGCGTGGCGTGGGCGTGGGCTGTGAACGTTGGAGGGGGCGTGGCGTGGCGATGATGGGGCGTGGCCTGGACGAACGGGGCGTGTCGGGGTGTGGCTGGAGGGGGCGTGTCGGGGCGTGTCGGGCGGGCGAGCGGGCGGGGCTGGGAGCGCGGCGGCCGCGGCGCCGGCGGGGCGGGGGCGTAGGAGGCTCAGCGCTGCCGCCCCGCAGGGCCGCGGTATGGGGCGGGTGCAGCTTTTCGAGGTCCGCCTGAACCACGGTCGCGTAGTCTACAGCCCGGGGGAGCCGCTGGTGGGGGCTGTGCGCGTGCGCCTAGCGGCGCCGCTGCCCTTCCGAGGTGGGCGCGGGGTCCGGGGAGGGCCGCACCTGCGGCGGGCGGGCGGCGCTCCGGAGCGGCCGAGCGGGTGCGGGGCCCGGGACCTGCGAGGCCGGGGGCGCCCGTCCGAGCGCGGGGAGGGCTGCGGGGCTGCCGGGAGGGCGGCGGGCCGCGGGGTGGGAGGCCGGCGCCGGGCGGGGCGGAGCAGGGAAGCCAGGGTGGCCCAGTCCTTCCGCATCTGCCCTTCCTGTCCTTCCGCCAAGGGGCGGCCAGACTCCGGGCCGGGGCTTCGAGCCCATCTGGTTTGCCGAAGGCCGCTCTGACCTGGACCCGCGACGCCTCCGACCTGACCTTCCCTGTCGGGTCTCTGATCCACTGCGCCCGGCACCTGCTGGGCCCTCCTCTCGAGCCCGGACCGCGGTCGCTTTCTCCCCCAGACGCTCAGGCAGCCCCCCGAGTGTGCGGGTCCCCGGCCGGGCCGCGGGGCACTGCCCACACCCAGCCAGGCCCTGAGGGCTGAGAGGGTCTTGCTGATCCCCGCGCGCCGCAGGCCCCCGGCCCAGGGAGCATCTGGGACCCGAACCTGAGCCCTCAGATCCGGTCTCTCTGCTGGCGCAGACATCTGGGACTTTGAGACTCGGGATCCGGTTGCTGCGGCGGCCCTTGCTAGGGCTCCCTGACGGCGCCGGCCTGGTCTGCTGCCTGAGGTGTGGACGGGGCCCTGTGGGGGGGCCTCACACCCGGGCGGTGGAGGAGGACGTAGCAAGGGGCGGGGCCTCTTTCCTGAGCCCGGCGCTGAGTGTAAGGCTGTGTGGTGTGCCCGTCCTGGGGCGCTTCTCTACCTCGGGCTGATTGACCAGAACCATAGCTGCAGGGGCTTCCTTCTGGACCTCCAGGCTCGCCCGTGGGGTTAACCGTTCAGCACGTGGCGTGCCCCCTGAGGACAGAGAGCCGCTGTCCTCCTTTCTGGGCAGCTTACTGCCTCATCCTGGACAGGTGGGACCCCCCCTCCCCATAACCTGTGGCCTCTTTAATGTCTCTACACTTGGAGTTTGGGGTTGGGTTAGTCGGGTAGGTGTGGTTGGCAGGGGCTCCGCGGCTGGTGCATCTTTTCTCTGTGGCACAAGCTGGTAGTGAGAGGTGAGTGCAGCCGGCAAGGCACAGAAAGGAGGGGCAGGGCCTGTGGCCTGAGGACAGACAGACCCTATGAGATCCCACACGGAGCTCTCCACCTGGCCTGCTGATCTGTTTTCCCCCGCAGCTGGGGTCCAGGGCGACTACAGTGGAGGAGTGGCCCGAGCTTTGTGTGACTAACCTGGGTTGGGCAGAGCCTTCCAGCCTCCACATGGTGGGTGGGATGTGGGTAAATGGACAGCTGGGTCACAGCAGGCTGAAGGAGACCCTGCTGATGGTCCTGACTGTAAGGGTGCTCCCAGAGCCCTGGGACAAGGAGGAGCAGGTGGCCTCGGGCCAGAGAGGGTTTTTTTATTTTAATTTTTTGTATTTTTGGCTGTGCTGGGTCTTCACTGCTGCACGGGTTTTGCTCTACTTGTGACAAGCAGGGGCTGCTCTCTAGTTGCAGTGCTCTGGCTTCTCACTGCGGTGGCTTCTCTTGTTGAAGAGCACAGGCTCTAAGGAGCACGGGCTTCAGTAGTTGCAGCTCTTGGCCTCTAGAGCACAGGCTCCGTAGTTGTGGTGCTCAGGCTTAGTTGCTCTGAGGCACGTGGGGTCTTCCTGGATCAGGCATCAAATTCTTGTCTCCTGCATTTGCAGGTGAGTTCTTCACCAAATGAGCCACCAGGGAAGCCCCCCATGGGTTTTTTTAAACTTTCACTCAAAAGATACTTGTTGAACTCCTGCATCCATAGGAGCAGGAGCCTTAGGATTTCCATTCTAAAGGAAATCATCCTAAAGGAAATCAGTCCTGAATATTCATTGGAAGGACTGATGTTGAAGCTGAAACTCCAATACTTTGGCCACCTGATGCGAAGAGCTGACTCATTGGAAAAGACTCTGATGCTGGGAAAGATTGAGGGCAGGAGGAGAAGGGGACAACAGAGGATGAGATGTTTGGATGGCATCACAGACTCAATGGACATGAGTTTGAGTAAACTCCGGGAGTTGGTGATGGACAGGGAGGCCTGTCGTGCTGCAGTCCCTGGGGTTGCAGAGTCAGATACGACTGAGTGACTGACCTGAAGTGAACTGAACTGAGCTCCTGCAACCAGCCAGTGATGCAACAGGGAGGCCCCTAGCAGGACATGGAGGCTGGGAGGCAGCAGGGCTCTAAGCACTTGACTGAGGAGAGTCAGTGCTGATCTGCAGTCAGCCCTGGGAGCTGATGTGGAAGACAGCTGGGGTGCTTTCCTGGAATCTGGGTCCAGCCCAGTTGCAGGGTCAGGCCGGGGTCAGGCAGGGCTGCCCTGTGTTCTGCTCTCGACAAGGGGGGGCGATGCCTGGACGACAGCAGCTCAGCCCCTGGCTCTGGCGACTCACTGGGCTCTCACCCTGGGCCAGAGGCCTTTCCCACTTCCCAAGGACCAACCCAAGAGTCCTCGAGTCCCAGCAACACTGGGAGGTGGGCGTTGTCATTCCTCTGGTGTTACAGATTTGGAAACACGACAGAGGGAAGCGGCTCTCCGGCCAGAGATGCAGTGAGAGGATGCGGCGGAGGCTGGGCCGCCCCAGGTCTGTGGGAGCTGGTGGAGGCAGGGACACACAGAGATCTTCACGGTCAGACTGCAGGTGGTGCCTAGGAGGAGGGCTGCTGGACAGGTGAGCGTGCTGGCTCAAGAAGTTCCAGAAGTCACTCTGGCACAGGATCCACGTGACGGTTCTCCTTGGAGGACCGAGGAGACCTGCAGTTCCCCCTGTGTCTCCACTGCTCCCCTGCGGAGGACAGCTTGCGTAGGGATGGGCCTTCTGACTCCAGGCTGGTGATGGCTCCCGCAGGCAGGGTCCCAGAAGGGGTCTCAGCCTGTTTGCAGAGGAGGCCGTGGCACGATCATGGGGAAGGTTAAATAATTCAGGCCTGCCTGGGATAACCAAAGGTCAGTCTTGTTTTTCTGGGGCCAGGTGCCACTGTGGCTTGTTCACTTTAATTCTGGAGCTGGGTTCTGGCTGAGTGCGTGCCTGGTTTCGCCTCCCTGCTGTTGGACCTGGGGGCTGTGCCTAGATGGTTTGCTGTTACGGGGAGTGTTGCTGGAGGCTCCTGAGTAAACAGGTGGGATTCTAAGGGGAACTGTTGGACCCCTGGAACCTGTGTGTAAAATTCGCACAGATCTTTTGGCTTTGTCTCCAGGCCCCTGTGTCAGCCGACAGTCTGACTCCCATAAGCAAGGGTCTTTCTATTAATACCTGCTTGTAACACGTCAAACAACATTTGCCAACCTGATGGGTTAAAATGGTATGTCATCTGAGTTTTCTTGAATTCTAGTGAGGTTAAACAGCTATTCCTTTATCTGCTGCTATGCAACAGTCACCCCTAAGTAACGAACCACCCCTAAACTAAGTGGTTTAAAGCAACCATTTTAACTCGTGCTGTTGTGAGTCAAGATTTTGGGCAGAAGTCTGCAGGGTGGTTCTTCAGCTCCGTGTCCATCCACTGGAGTCACTTGACAGTGCCCGGCCGCCACCGGGCCACCCTAGGGACCACTGCACTTCTTCCAGCATATTCTGTTGTTCCCAGTGTTCTCAGGGCAGCCTGATTCAAGGGGGGACACAAGCAGTGTAGTGTCTGGACTCCACTAGGGCGTCTCCCAGTCAGCCTTCCAGTCCAGCTTCCCCTTTGCTGTTCCCCGCTGTGTCTCCTGGGCTGCTGGTGTTCAGACTTCCAGTGTGGGAACAGTTCCAGGTCTGGCCCTCGGAGGGGACGGCCGGTGGAGCAGAGATGAGGAATTAGGGCCGCGGTCCTAGTGGTGATGCTGGGCTGGCATGGAGGCTGAGGCCAGTCACCGGCAGTGCCGACGGGGTGGAGGGGGAGCCAGGAGTCCACGGAAGGCAGCCCAGCGCACTCAGGAGGCCTGTCCCCTGTCAGCAAGGTGGGGCCCGCCTGGGGAGCCGGGACAGAGCCGGCGCTGCTGCCTCCCCTACCCCGGGCACTTGAGACGCCACCTTCTGCCTGGTGGCTCCGTCAGGAAGGTATCAGATTCCGAGTCGCCTTCCTTCACTAATCCATCAGGTCAGGGGAGGAAGGGCGGCTGGCAGGCAGGCTAAATCTTTGGTCTTGACTCAGCTTGCAGGGAGAGGAAGGAAAGGAGGGAGCCACGGGGCTACCTGTCACCGAGTCCGCAGCCCCCGGCTGGCGGCCCCCCAGCTGTGGCGTCCCCTCCGGCGGCCGGCCTCGGCCTCCGGCGGCTCAGTGGGCTCTGGACTGAGCAGTCCGAGCCCCTGAGCACAGCCTGGGCCGCGGCAGTGACCTGCTGCCTGGTTCCTGTCTGCGGGCTTTCCCTGGGAGCAGGCAGAAGGCCCAGCCACCTCAGTGCAGAAATCAACGCTCCTGGGCAGTTCTGGCCCAGGAGCCAAGGTGTCCCACCCTCTCGCGTGCCAGACTGCTGGTCTCCTATTTTCTCAGGCGGGTCTGACCACATTCCTGCTGCGTGAGGGCTAATAGGTAGCTTCCTGGTGCCTGGAGGGTGCCTCCCAGCCTAACTGACAGGCCTGTGAGGCAGCAGGAAGGTGGGGCTGCCCCACCCACCTCTGTTCACCAAAGGGTTCCTAAGCTTCCCCTGTAGGGAAGGGGTTTTCTCTGGTCTGGTGAGGGGTCAAGGTGCTGGGGTTTACCCAGGGGTCATCTGGGTGACCCTCGGGGCCTTCCTGTTCTGGACTGCAGGACGGCTGGAGCCCTGCACCTCAGCACCCTGGCTTGGTGGGAGCACCTCGGGATGTGGGAGAGGCAGGCGGTGTCCTCTGGAGGGCAGCCGGTCGTGTGCTGGCCTTCCCGGAGCCTAGCTGGGTGATTCTGGGTCCCATCAGTCCTGCCTGAATGCCTGTGCTGGGGCTAGGGAGGGGCCAAGGCTGGCACCTGCCTGGGACTCACACTGGCCCTGCCTTGCAGCCATCCGTGTGACCTGCACGGGGTCCTGCAGGGTCTCCAACAAGGCCAACGACTCGGCCTGGGTGGTGGAGGAGAGCTACTTCAACAGTGCTCTGTCTCTGGCCGACAAGGGTGAGTCTGGAACCCACCCCTCACCTCCTTCAACTGAGATGGGTCTGTCTGTCCCCCTACTTTCCTACCTGCCTCTGGCCTCCCCGCACTGGCCCACTCTCTCCCAGGGTTTCTCTTGGTGGCAGGAACAGGGCACTGCCTGCTAGGGGCTGGGGGCTGAAGGGGGCCAGTTCCTCCCAGGTTTGGATGGGTGCAGTGGGAGCTTGTCAGCTGCAGGGCATGCTTCTGCCCTGGGCCCTGTGATGGCGCCTTGTCCCCTCTCCCCACCTCTCTCGTGTCCTCAGGGAGCCTGCCTGCTGGAGAGCACAGCTTCCCCTTCCAGTTCCTGCTTCCTGGTGAGAGCCCGGCCCGGCCCGGCCCGGCCCGGCCCGGTGGTGGCAGTTGGTGAGGGCGGGTGGGAGGTGGGGGACAGTGGGACCTCAGTCCCTGCTCTCTCTCCAGCCACGGCTCCCACGTCCTTTGAGGGCCCTTTCGGGAAGATTGTACACCAGGTTCGGGCCACCATCGACACACCGCGTTTTTCCAAGGATCACCAGTGCAGCCGTGTGTTCTACATCTTGAGCCCCCTGAACCTGAACAGCATCCCAGACATCGAGGTGAGCCTGGGGCAGTGGCCTCCCGGGCGGCTCCCACCCTTGTCTGATGCCCTGTCCCCGGCACAGGTGAGGCCACCTGTGGAAGCAGCAGCCTTAGTTCTGAGCTGACCCCGGGGATCCTGCCTGCCCACACCCGCCCAACCCCTTCCCTGCCCTCCTCCCAAGCAACCCAATGTGGCCTCCACCACCAAGAAGTTCTCCTACAAGCTGGTGAAGACGGGCAGCGTGGTCCTCACAGCCAGCACCGACCTCCGAGGCTACGTGGTAGGGCAGGTGCTGCGGCTGCAGGCGGACATTGAGAACCAGTCAGGCAAGGACACCAGCCCGGTGGTGGCCAGTCTGCTGCAGGTCAGCCTCCCCATGGCTGCTGGGCCCCGTCCCCGTGGGGCAGAGGAGGGGGCGGGTGGCTGGCCTGCCCAGGCTCACAGGCTGGCCCTTCCCCAGAAAGTGTCCTACAAGGCCAAGCGCTGGATTTACGACGTGCGGACCATCGCCGAAGTGGAGGGGGCCAGCGTCAAGGCCTGGCGGCGGGCTCAGTGGCAGGAGCAGGTCCTGGTGCCCGCCCTGCCCCAGTCCGCCCTGCCGGGCTGCAGCCTCATCCATGTGGACTACTATCTGCAGGTGGTAGGGGTCAGGGGTGGGGTGGGAGGAGGGGCCGCAGCTGGGCTCCTCACGTGCGCAACCTCCCTAGGTCTCCCTGAAACAACCGGAAGCTGTCGTGACGCTCCCGGTCTTCATCGGCAACATTGCTGTGAACCACGTCCCACTGAGCCCCCGGCCAGGCCCTGGCCTGGTGGTACCCTCAGCGCCGCCCCAGGAGGAGGCGGAGGCTGTGGCCAGCGGCCCTCACTTCTTCTCCGATCCTGTCTCTCTCTCCACTAAGAGCCACTCCCAGCAGCAGCAGCCGCCTGCAGCCCTTGGCTCTGTGCCCCACGGTGCCCCAGAACCCCGTCCTCAGGATGGCAGCCCCGCCCCACACCCTCTGCCCCCTCCCTTGTGCATCTCCACAGGTGCCACCGTGCCCTACTTTGCAGAGGGTTGTGGAGGTCCGGTGCCCACCTCCAGCACCCTGATCCTCCCCCCCGAGTACAGCTCGTGGGGCTACCCCTATGGTGAGTGGGGGCCTGGGGCCTGGCGGGGAGGGAGTGCCCCTGGGGAGGGGGCCTGGCGGGGAGGGAGTGCAGACCTGGCTGTCTCCCCGCAGAGGCCCCGCCGTCCTATGAGCAGAGCTGTGGTGGTGTGGACCCTGGCTTGACCCCGGGGAGCTGACCCCAGGCCACCTCGTCTGAATGGGCGGCCCTCTGCCCTGGGACTGGGCTCCCAGGACCTCGTGCCTTCACTCCTGGCCTGGCCCGGCCCACTCAGGACCCGCTGCTACCCGCTCTTCCCGCGGCCTCTACCTCCGGACCAGCCTCTGCCCCGGCCAGCCTCCTCGGCTCCCCAGCAGTCGGCCTCTCCCAGGGGGTTGGGGCCTAGAGAGACGCGGTGTAAATAAAGTGCTTCATTTGTAGAGCTGGGCACAGTGGCCTGTTGGGCCCTCCTCTGCAGGGTCTGTGTTCCCCTCCAGTAGCGGGTATTGGGCTTCCCAGGTGGCGCTAGTGGTAAAGAACCACCTGCCAGTGCTGGAGATGCAAGAGACCATGGGTTTGATCCCTTGGTTGGGAAGATTCCCTAGAGAAGGGCATGTTAACGCATTCCAGTATTCCTGCCTGGCGATTGCCATGGACAGAGGAGCCTGGTGGACTAGTCTATAAGGTCATGAAGAGTTGGCTCGCCCTGACCTGGGGTGTGCCCAGCCCCTCCCACTGGACATGCCCCTCTCATCACCACGCCCCTCCTGCTGGCCTTTCCATGCAGGACACGCCCCCTCTTGGCCCCTCCTCTCCTCTCTGGGTCCCTTATGCTTCCGGGCATCTTCTTCCGGACGCTGGCTGTTGGTCGCTTCGGGCTAAGCAGCGGTGGCGATTAACGAGGGCTGGGGCTGGCCTTTGGCCTCCCGGTTCCGCTTCAGGATGTGACTTCGGAGGCAGCTTGCATGTCTGGAGCCTCAGCGTTAACTTAAAGTGGCCTTGTGATAAGGCGAGAAGGCCTCCCCTGTTCCATTTTGTTAGTACCAATCACTCCAGGAAATGCAGTTTAGACCTCGCGCGCCAGAGGAAATCCAGTCAGGGTGAGGATCCCCCAAGTCCCTTGCCTTTGCCCCCAAAATCTGTCCCTGTTGGCACCGCAACCAAATCTAGTTTGGAGGGGTTCAGCTTCTCGACTCCCATGTGTGAACACACAAGCCCGCTCCCGAGGTCTGCAAAGGACTGTCGTCTAGGACGCAAGGAACCCAGAACAAATAAAAATGCAGGGTTTCCCAAAGGGGCATTTTGCAGAGTTCCAGAGCGCCTGTACAAGTCCTGCAGGGCCAGGATCCTGGTGTGCTTTGGGAGCCCCTTGGGGTGGTATTATGACTTCAGGTTCAAATTCCAGCTCTGCCATATGGTGAAGGAGTCACTTTGGCTAGGTGTGTCAGTTAACTTTATGATAAGCTCATGGGACTACGAGGGGACAAGTCGAGTGTCTTCTCCCCTCTCCACCCCACACAACATGATAGATTATTTCTTGCACATTTAATAGTCTGGAGATGGCATAGCTGTCATTCTCAAGTAGAGGGTGACACCTCTGGGTTTAGGTTGGCAGTTCTATCATCCAGGTTACCAGGCCTGCGCCTCCCACTTTCTGGGGGACAGTAGTATCACTTTTGCAAATCCCATTGGCCACCCTACCTGGAAATGTGCAGGCAGCCATGTACCCTAAAACTTGACTTTACTATTTGTGGGACAAGGAGAAGATGAATATTGGAGAAAAGCACAAAACATGCTTGAAGCAGGATAACCTGTGAAATATCTACTAGAAGCTGTAGCCTCACAGTTGAGACTACCTGTTTCAAATCCCATCTCTGCTTCTTGACAGTCGTATAACCTGGAAGGCAACCCCCACCCTCTTTTATTTTGCTGACAAGACTGTGGATAAAAATGATGTCCACCTCTCAGTATTGACCTGATAGTCACAGGGACAACACGTAATGTGTCATCAGTGAGCAGGGATAATACCAGCGTAGGGTGGATTGGGCTGACCCGAGCATTGCGTACTTCTGACACATTCATTTACGGTCAATATTTGCCTAGTAAAAGACTTTTTCCCACATCTTAATTCTTATTCTTTCAACAAATATTTGTCTCCTGCATGCCTAACATTGTTCTAGGTACTAGGGCACACAAAACAAAAATCCCTGACCTTTTGGACTTGAATTCTAGTAGGGAAGACACACAATATGGCAATGGGATGCTATGGAGTAAAATAAGGAAGTTTTGCGGTGCAGTAGTATTTTTAAGTAGAGGCAAGAATACACTTCCCTGAAGAGGTGGTATTTAAGACCTAAGGATTGTCAAGAAGTGAGCCACAGATACCTGAGAAAAAAGTGTTTCAGAGAAGGGGCAGACTAGGGCCCAAGGCAGGAGTGGAGACGGAGATGGTGCCAGAGAGGCAGGTGTAGGCGAAGGCTAGCTTGGCTGTGCAGGCCAGAGGACAACTCCTGAGCCGCCTCTCCAGAGGCTCCAGAGCGAGCTTGGGGTTCCCAGCCTGTCAGAAGTTGACTTAGGTTGCCCCACACCCTCTAAACCTAGGAAAGGCTTCCTTGGTACTTAGGGTCGTCCACTGCCTCCTCTGCAGCTGTGGGCACTCTCAATGCCAGATTTCCACGAGATTGAACCCTCACAGCTCAGACTGATTAGCTTCTGACTTGGGACCTCCTGAGCTCCTGTTGTGAGGACCGGCCAGAGAACCGCGATTTCAGTCTATGCTGCTTCTCTCAACTGCCAGGGGATGGAAGAAACAGGTGGAGCCATGCGGAGTGGGTGGCCCAGGCCAGCTTGTGTGGTGCTGTCCAGTGACGGCTGCTTGGGTGCGCAGCAAAGGTCTCACCCTGTGCACAACTGGGTGGCCTGCAGGAAAGATGGGGTGATCCGAGAGGCTGCCCATCTGGGGCCACCTCCAAACTGGAGCATCTCACTCCCCTTGTATAAGCCAGGCATTTTCCTTAACCAGAGCGCCCTCTAAAGAGACAATCCCCCCGCAATGGGACACTGCCCACACTTCCCAAACAGGACACTGTCCCTAGCCAAAGCGCAGCCGTATATGGGGCATCTTCCCGAATCAGAGCATCATCCCCACAGTCCGGAAATGCCCCGGGCAGAGCACCCCGGCGCAAGGGCATTCACACTGAGACGCCTCCCCCAAGGCAGCACTGCCAACAGGGGCAGCCCTCCCCCGGGGGGCTTCACCCCTCCCGCTCAGGGCTGCTTCTCAGTGAGGACAGGTGCGCCCCACCACCGGAGCATTCCCGGCCCGGAGCCGGGCCCTTCTCCCTAACCGGACGCAGCCGCAACTGGGGCACCCCTCCCACCCGGGCACAACCCCCCGCGCGGGCACCGCCCTAGGACGCAAGCCGGGGTCCGCCTCCTACGAAGGCCGACGGAACCGATGTGTGTCCGGGGTGAGAGGTCAGGGGTCCTTCCACACCCCGGCCGGCCCGCCAGAGCGCCTACGCAGAGCGAGAGGGGACCGCGCGGGCGGGAAGACCGCGACGGGCCGGCGTCCGGAGCCGCTCGGACCCCGGAAGCCCGCCGCGCGCGGCCCCGCCCCCGCTGCCGCCGTCCACCCGGTTCCGGCCCGCACAGGCCCGCGCTGCGGACGCCGCTCCCGGGCCGCAGTGCGCAGGCGCGGGGGCGCGCGCAGGCGCAGACGTGAGCGACCGGCCCCGCCCCGCCCCGGGCCTTGAGGAGCGGGCGGGGCGATGGCGCGCGGGAGGGGCGGGGCCACGCTGCGGGCCCGGGCCATGGCCGCCGCCGATGCCGAGGTGAGGAGCGGGCCGGCGGCGGGCGCGGGCGGCGCGGGCGCGGCGGGGGCGGCGCGGGCCGGCGGGCCGGGCGCGGCGGGCGCGCGGGCGGGGGCGCGGGCGGGTTACGGGGCGCGCGGGCGGGCGCCTCCCCACCGCCGCCGCCGCGCCTCAGGCCGAGGCCGGGCCGAGGCGGCCGGGCGTCCGGGCCGCGCTGCGCGGGGCGCGCTTTGTGCGGGCGGGCGGGTGGCGAGGGGCGCGCGCGGGCGGGGCGGGGGCTCGGGGAGGGCCGTCGCCCGGCGCGCCGCGACCCCGGGCCTCGGGCCGCGACCGGGAGCTCCGCGGGAGGGGCGGAGGACAAAAGGGAAAGTGGGGCGAGCCCGCCAAGTTGGCGGCGCGGGCGACGCGAAGCCGTGCGCTCCCGGCGCCGCTCCTGCGCCCGCTGACCTTTCACTTTGTTCCGGAGAGGATGGCTGGGTCTTGAAGGAAAAGTTGGCCGGGCCGGCGCTCTTCTCCCCGGACAAAGCTGTCGGCTCCCTGGCTGTCAGGAGTACGGTCGCACGACTTCGGTTTATTTCCAGGCAGACCGCTCACGCGGGCTTTGGATGTAAAAAGTTGCCCTCCCTTTGTTAATGTTTCTGGCCTCCCCTTTGCTCGCTCTCGGGAATAGTTTTCCCTGGCTCGTGGCAGCAGAGAAAGCAAACTCTTGTAAGATGGGCCACTAGCTTCCCGCAGAAGGGAGAAGCCGGAGGGAGGCGGTGTGCCTGGGGAAAGGCAGGAACGGCGTTCTCCGGGCTGACACGGGGGACCAGTTTTGAAGAAAGTGATGACCTAGTAGTTTTTCTGTGGATTTACTCCAGGTTTTCTGTGTAGTAATAACCGCGGGGACTTCTAAAGATCAGGAAGCCAAGGTGTGTGATAAGACCCTGTTACAGTAATCTGGTGTGTAGGACCTGTACTTTTATCCGGGTAATGCACCGTCTTTTAACGTTTCTTTATTTCTTTCTTGCATTTTTGGGGGGTATGGATGTAAGTAAACTGAGAACGTGCAAGAAAATTCTTGAGTTCAACGTGAAGAGTATTTGTTAGCACCTGCAACACTCAAGGAGTGTATTAGGCTGAGCAAAACGGAAAAGGTGAATTAGATAAGCGCCAGTCGCTTCTGGGAGAGAAGATGAGCAGTGATCGTGATACCGCTTTCTGAGCGTCTTCTGGGTCCCGGGCACCGCGGGCCCTTAGGTGAGTCCTCCCCTTCACCTTTCTCTGCCCTGTGCAGCAGGTGCTGCCGTTTCCTGGTTAAGTGACGTGGGAAACGAGGTTTGGGAGCGATTGGGTGACTCGGCCCAGCCAGTTCTCCAGTTAGCAGTTGTTTGGTGTCTGGCACATGGTAGGTTTTTAATTAATCATGGATGAGCACGTTGCCCCAGACGCCACTGACTCCACAGGCAGCCTTGGGTAGCGGGCTTGCCCGAGCCAGTGGCGGTGACCGCCAGCTTCCCTAGGCCCTCGCCTGTCTGGCCCTGCTCTCGCTGCTTGAGTTTCCTCAGTAAAGTGTGACGGCCATTTTTGAGGTGGATGCAGTTACGTCCCTGTTTGCGCGGTCGGGAACAGGCACTGTGAGGCCCCAGGCTACAGAACTTGTGCAGAAGATGGATGCAGTGGCCTGGCTGAGAGCCCCTTGAGCTCTGTCTGTGGCGGTCACTTGAAGCTGATGAAAGCTCTGGGCTTCGGTGGGTGAGCCTGCCTGTTTATTATGGAGGTGCACGTTAGGGCAGGGAGGGACTTCTGGACAGTGGCTAGGCATGGGGTCAGGTGTTGCCACTAAATCACGGAAATGGTCACTGTGTCAGGGTTCCCTAATGGCCAAATGATTAAACCGGAAAGTGGACATTTGAAATTTATCTGGCCGCATATTTACTTTTTCATCTTTCCTCGACCTAGAAAAAGGTCACCACTTTTTCACACTGAAGAGAGGCCCCCTGTTTTGTGGATTTTGAAATGCGCTTTTGGAATCTGTCTTCCGTTTTGTGGATTACTAAGTGGGGGCTCCTTTGGTTTAGTGTGTGTTCAGGGTCACCTCAGGCTTTTGACCCAGCAAGATGCTACCTTTCAACAGGAGGGCCTTCCCAGGAAAACTCTGCATTTCTAGCAGGGTGGCTACTGTGTGTCTCTTCTTTTGTGTTTCTTAAGAGACATGCACTGCGCATGGTTGAAAGTCAGGTAGTGTCAGAAGCTGGTAAAGAAGCTGTGTCCTCTCTAGAGGTAGCAGCCCCTTGACTCTCTTCAGCATTTACCTTATGGGGCTTCCCTGGTGGCTCAGCTGGTAAAGAATCTACCTGCAGTGTGGGAGGCTTGGGTTCAAATCCTGGGTTGGGAAGATCCCCTGGAGAAGGGAATGGCCACACACTCCGGTATTTTGGCCTGGAGAATTCTGGTTCGCAGAGACTTGGACATGACTTTCACTTTCACTTTGTGTTATCAGGCAATACGTTTGTGTTGTCTTATCTTTATTCACCAATTTTAGGGGTTATCCGCTGGCTCCCGCTAAGGTCTCTGTTTTCTTGTCCTCGCTCTTGTTCAGGCGGCGCACAGTTGTGGTTAAACCCGTGTCAGGGTTTTCGTCAGTCTGATCAGGTCAGTGTTGCGCCTTGCTGAGCTGGCTGGTGGACCACACACAATTTGATTTCTTCCCTTGTACAGACATTTTTATTTCCCTAGAATTAATAATCGCTTTATTTTTCATTTGCCTGATTCCCTTTGAATCTCGGAATAATGTTCCTGCACCTTTCATTCTGTAAAGAGCTCCTTAATTCAGTTTTTTACCCCCCAGCCTTGTCAGCTCAGCAGCCGGTGCCGCAGTGCTCCTCAGGCTCCCCAGCCCAGATGGGGGCCTTGTTCTCTGGGCCTGCGTGCTGCCACCCTGGGGCTCTGCCCGCTTCCTTGCCTCTCACACTCCCTGTGTACTCACTTTTTTGGGGTGGTGGTAAACAGTCTTCAGTAGCTTCCCAGTAGTTTGCTGGGACCAAGACTTTGGGACTTGCATGTCTGAAAATGTTTTCATTCTCCTGCCACACTTAAAGAATAAGTTTGGCTGGACTTGGCATTTCAGTGTCTTATAGTCTTTGTTGTTGCTATTGAGAGCTCTGTAGTTTGATTCTTTTTTTGTTTTTTGGCTGCACTGTATGGCTTGTGGGATTTTAGTTCCCCAGCCAGGAATTGAACCCAGGTCCTCCACAGTGAGAGCATGGAGTCCTAACTGCTGGCCTGCCAGGGAACTCGCCAGCCGGATTATTAATCGTTTGTAAGCACATTCCCACATCAAGCTTTTAGGATCTTTGCGTCCTTGATTTTCCTAATTTTCATGAAATGCCTTTGTGTGGTGCTTTCTCATTTATCCTGCAGGGTACTAAGTAGCCCTGGAATCTGGGGATTGAGGTCCTTAAATTTATAGGGAGTTTTTGTATTATGTGTTTGAGATAGTTCTCTACCAGGTTCTCTTTTTCCAGTTTCTTTGAATGTTGGACTTCCTGTACTTAATATTCTAATTTTAAAAGTCTTTTCATCATATCTTTATCTTTTTGGTATTTTTGAGAGTATATTTGATAATTTTGCAATTTGTTAAGAAATTTTAACTTCTTTCATATTACCATGTTCTTTACTGTTTTTTTGTTCCTTTTAAAATGCCTCCTGTTCTTGTTTTATGTATACAGCATCTTTGCTTATCTCTTAATTTCAGTTTTTAAAACTGTAAGTTACAATTTTGAAAACTAAAAAAATTTTTGTTTCCTGCACACTTTCTGTTTCCTGTACATTCCTTTTTGCTGTTATATCTTTTGGTTTCTTTCTTTCATGCTGGAGACCCTTCTTCCAGCGTCTGGTGCTCCTTGGCTGTTGATTCATCCTTATGAATAAAATACTAAAAACGGAAAACTGAGTGTACTGGGGGGCTTGGTTCTTTGTTGCTTTCACTGGAGGGTGATGACTAGCGTTTTTTGTTGGCTCTTCTCCAAATGTTACTGTCCTCTGGTTTAGTTTCCTTAGAGAGGGAGCCTGGCTGGCTGGATGTTGGAGCCAGATTAAGGGGGAGGGAGGCAGGGAGGGCCTTCCCTTTGCTGAATCCCCCTGCTTTCCCTGAGGTGTCCATTGCTGCCTTTCTTTGTACCGCTCACCCCAAGTGTGGTACCTTCTGGTGTCTGTAGCTGTGCAGAAGTGCTTGTCTGAGTGTGTGGAGGGGCTGGGGGCCTTCCTTGGAGTTTTGCACCACATCCCTTCTCAGACCCTTTCCATTGTCCCGCCAGTCAGCCTGCTCCTCAGCAGTGACCACCTTACTTGGTTTCCCCTTCCTCTGCTCTGTGGAGTGATTCATGTTCCTTTCGCCTCCGTCTTCCTATTCATGTTTTGTGTAGCGGTTCCAAGTGTTTCCTAGGTGGAGTGCACGTTTCTCTTTCCTGTTCTTGTCTTTGGCTGAATTTTGATAAGAGAAGGAGTGCAGAGTCTGTTCTGCATCCAGCAATCAAATATTTACAGTAAATCTTGAGAAGTTTCACCCGTACTAACAGCACAGCTATCCTGTGGAAAGGGCTGCCCATCTCAGATCTTCCCGTGTAGGTTGTGGTTCTGGATCATCACAGAGGTTGGCAAGGGCAGTACACGTACCCCAGCCCTGAGGCCCAGAAGGACATCTGTGGGTAGCTTAGCTGTTGGAGACCCTACATGTGGTCAGTGCTGCATTAGGGCCAGAGCCCCGCTTCCTGCCTTTGCTTCCTGTTGTATCACAAAACCGGTTTGTATATTTGACCGCATTGTAATTGAGTTCATCTTTTAGAATAATTTAGCTTATCAGAACTGTATTTTGGGCTCTCCTCTTTAGGAACTTTATGTTCTCTGCCATTCATTGGGCTTTCCATGTGAGATGGGCGCTGTTATCTCGGCGAGGGGGTGGTTTGGCCCCAGTTGACCTTGCTCCGCAGCAGACCACACGGGGAGCTGGGGGGTGGGGCCTGGTGGTCCAGGCTTCGCAG